TTAGTTAAAAATGAACTAACTGTCCAATCTTGTGAACAAATGTAACATCCAGACACTACCAATCTGTGGCCACACTTTGAGTAAAAATACATAGCATAAATATTCCAATGCGGCCTACATATTCAGGCTTTCATGACAGTCAAACTAGTCCAATCATCCTCCAAGTTATAACAATTCTGAATAAGTAAAGCAATACAAAAGAACATAGAAAACCTAATTATTCAAGCTGAAATACAATTATATGATGTAGCACATCAATCAGATAAATAAATAAAAACACATCCATGTATCATGACTGAAACAGCGACATAAGCTAATGCTATGCTTCGAAATCTGCTTTTATTTCATTCTGCAAATCAACTTCACAAGCCATTGAGTATCAAGAGTATGTACCTGATAAAGTTAAAGCAAAAAAAAGAGAGTGAGAAGATCAACAACAGCAGAAGATGAACTTCAGCAGATCGAATCAGCAAAATCCAGCTTGTTAAACCATTTCAATCCCAGGAAAGTTCAAAAAACCAATTCAAACATTTTTGAAAACCCATAGAGTGACCTATAATACTCCAATCAAACAGTGTTTTATGGTGTTGTTTTTGTATTTTTCTCTGATTCTTCAGACCCTTTTCAATGTTTAAATTCTCCTTCGGCTGCCTCTGATTTTTCTAGGTCTGACCTCTCCCCATCATTTTTATTAAGACAGCCTTATATAGAGGACCCTAGGGCTGCAGAAGTGAGTTCCTAGTTTGCCAATTATCCCTTCCCCAATTTTCTTTTTGTTCAGTTCACACCCTAGGTTTAAACCCTAATTGCTGAAATACCCCCATTTCCCCTTTCCTGGAAGCTTCCTAGTCAGATGTGGCAAGATTCCCCTACCTATATTCCCCATTTACCCCTCTAATCTAGGTTATTTACTCTTAAAACCAACTCGGGTCAAGTTGACCCAGGACCCAAACCCTGGCCTGCCAATTAGGCGAACCCTTCTTCTTTGGGCCTTCTTAACTTTCAGAACCCAATCAACAAACCCAGCCCTCAACAAATAAAATTTGACAAACCAGGATTGTAAGGGCGTCCAAAACTAAAAATTCAACTAAACAGCCAATAAAGGATTTACTAAACCAAACTCTAACTAATAGAAGAAGAAAACTGGACTAATAAAAAAAAATAACGGGCCTATTTATGTAAGAATGGAAAAATCTGAGAGAGGGAAGAAACAGACGAAGCTTGAAAGGAAATTGTAGAACAAGCAATAAGGACCCGAAATACCTGAGTGGGAAAAACAAACGATGAATTTGCATGGACTAACCGGCCATTTCAACTTGGACCCGAAATGAGTGTTATTCGGGTTGTTCTTGTGAGAACAACCCACCTAACACTTGTTTCTAGTCCAAAAATTCTTCATGCTCGGAGAACAATCAAACCAAACCTTAACGGACGAGACAGAGGTGAAGAAGGAATTAGGGTCCCGGATTTTGATTCAAGATTTGAGGAAATTGGGATGGATTCGAGGAGAACCATGTTGGGATTTGAAAAGGGGAGAGTGAGATGGTTCGTGAGTGTGATTTTGAAGCTGGTTTGAAGTGGTGCCGGCTTTTGAAGCTGGTTTAAATCAGGATCGGTGGTAAACCATCCTTTGGGAGAAAGTTAATCTCTAATGTGTTTAATTCAAAATCGATCCTAATCTGTTCCGAAATAGCTGCAACTAAATTGTTTTAGCTGAATGTCGACTCGATTATTACACAATCGCTGACGAAATTGATAAACTTGTTTTCTTCCCATTCACCACTATGAAGAACATAAACTGGAAAAAGCTCCATCGAACAAAAATTTGAAATCAAAATTGCAACAAAAATGAAAATTGCGCTGATTGCAGCAAAAAAAATCCACTTTTCGTGTTTGATTTGCTATTAATTCGAGATGAAGAAGAATTTCTAGGGATATTAGAGTTGCATTGACTGTAAGATTGAATTTTTGTAGATTTGGGGAAGAAGAGTGGAAAGAATGAGAAAAAATCCCGCTGAAAGATACAAAATCCCGCTTCTGAGTCCCAAAAAACGAAAATAACGCCCCCTTTTTCGGATATGGGCATGTTATTTTTGGGCTACTCAATTGTAAATTGAAATATGGTCTATAAAGTTGAAAAGTAGGCAGCCAAGTTGTTTTAATATGAAATTTTCCCATAAATTAACCCTTTTGTATTAGTTTTAATTTGAGCCTTCATGCCCTTTCTTTCTTTATAACCTTGTCCAAAAGCCGCATTACAATCCAAAAAAGACCTCCCAGATAGTCTTTGAGAGTGCGAGCTAGATATTCCAGGAGCATATGATATTTTTTACTATGGTCAACGCCTTATCATCTGCAGAATCAGAGAAAATAAGTAGAAAAGAACAAGATGAGAGAGTCTTATCGGTGAAAACCTTCACAAGCACCATAAGGCGACGACAAGTTAAGAGAAAGAAAAATGAGAGAGTCTTGATGGTGAAACCCTTAGGGCACTACAAGTTGAACAAGGATCGTGAATCAAATATGATGATCACGCCCAACTATGCCTTATAAAAAGGACAAAGCAGCCGTTGCAAATATCATCCGGTTTACAAGTCCGGAGTCGAATCCCACAGAGAACTAAGGCTTAGCTACAGTTGTTCACTATCACCAAGAGTACAAGCTTGAACAATTCCTAACTTATAGATATTAAGATTCTTGTGTTTAACTAACTAACTAACAAATTAAAATAATAAATTAACACTGAGGATACTACAGGTTGGAGAAACGATTAAGGAGGTCTAAAGTTATGATTTCCCCCAATTATCGGAATCTTTCCCGCTATGTCTTCTATAATTTTGCCTAAGTATTCTCTACCGATCATGAGCTCTCTACATGTTGTAATTCTCTCCCGAGTAATTACGACAATTTACTAGACATACTCTCCCGAGTTATCGCACCTAAGGTTTCGTTATCCCTAATCCCACCTTTAAACCCTTGGTTATTGATTCCTCACATACGTCGAGAGTGATGTTGTTCAACAACTACCTAAATATGCACTCTCTCCCGAGTAATACATACTAAATAGGCACAACTAATTGAGGGCCCTTCAATCAACCACAAGAATAATATAGTTGAACAAATAGAGAAAATACTACGGCTCAATTATATAAAAACATAACAAGAATTATCCTACCAAAGGTTCCATCAAAACCCTAGATAACAAATTAGTTATTCATAATAGTATGTAAAACTACAATACTAAAAGTCATAACCAACAACAAAAAATAGGAAGAGGAAGGAAAAACTCGTAGAAGAATTCCCCGCCTTGCTCCTATTGTGTCTCTTCCTCCTTAGGTCGAATCTCGGTCTCCTTAGCATCCTTAGGTCTAAATTATGTCCAAGGTCTTCAAAATACCGTTTTTCCATGTATATATACCAAGTAGGGTTGAGCCCAAACAATTACACCTTCTCCTACGCAAAAAAGGACACATTTTCCGGACAGGACGTGCGCGTCCGCGCTCAGACCGCGCATATCCACTTTGATTCTGCCTGACGAGCGCGGCCTGAGCGCGGCCGCGCTCTTGATGCGCACATTTCACCCTCTTCCGTTTGGAATTTGGAAAAACGTAAAACATGAAAGTTGTAGCCCTTTGAGGTAGCTTTCCAACCATATATTGTGTATCCCAAATAGAGTTCTAAGCAAAATATTATGTGCGTTCTATGAGACAATGCGTAATATGCCTACTCGATTCTTCGTTTGTTCTAACTATCATCCGTTGACCCCCGAACACGATCCCGACTTAATTCCTTGAGCTTTTACTCAGACTTCAAAGCTCCAAATCACTTGAATTTATTCCATAACATCTACATAGCTCGGAATCACTCCTACAAGGCATAAAACACACAATTAGTGCAAGACACTAGCGATTAAAGCTCAAACTCAATTAAAGTGCAGTAAAATAGAGTGTAATAAGCGACTGCAGCAGCAGCAGGTGCCCGCCTGGAGAATGAGGAAAGTTATTTCAGAAGTTAATTCAAGTTAGAAGCAGCAGAAGCTCACCTCAAGAATGCGAGTCGACAGTCCAAGATGACCAAAAGAAGAAGGCTCGATCCAGAATAAAAGAAAAGAAAAAAAAGAAGTGAATCCAAAATGCAAAAGCAGATGAAAGATGTGAATTGCTTAAGAAATGGCTGAAGTCACGAGCACTACATGTCTGGTCTTGATCCGAAGAAGCCGTGGAATAATGAATCAGCACCTGTAGCTAGCAAGCATCAAGGTTCAAATCAAAAGTCTGCATGAAGAACCATCCAAGTCTCAAGATCAAGCTTCAGAAAACTTATAGATAAGAATCTTGTAACTCTTAGCTGATATGTTTGTTTAGTTCTTCAAGATTTTGATTTTGATTTTGATGTAATAACAGGACCCGCGGATCAGAATCACGACAGAACGGTATCTCACTCGACTCTCTCATCCTCTCCACACACTCCGTTACTTTATTCACTTCTGAACTACACGTGACCTGATTTCTTTATAGCCAAGGATATGTAGGCAACTCAGATTCCATGTATCTGTCACAATCTTTTGTCCATCTTTGTTTCGTTTTGAATAAGCATCGCATAAATTAATTACGTTGCTGATTTTTCTTTGCTCCAAAAATTCTTCGTGTTTCCAAGCAAAGAGGGGCAGCTGTAAGCATGCAATTTTTGACCAGCGCAACATTTAAAGTAGTATTTTAAAAATATTTACTTATTTTCATTCTAATAGGATTTCAGTCAACTTTTAGTTCCAATTTTAAAACATAAGTTTAAAAATATAAAAATAGTTTTATAATGTTTCTTTTCTTATTATATATATATACCAGTTAGAGTATGCCCGGGCCCAACGACTATTTAGCATTTCTGTTAATAGAACTATATAGGGACTTAAATCTATCCTGGGGCATAGAAAAGAAACATGTTATGGAATATGTTTTTGTTTACTTAAAGGTTTTGTTGGGATGCTATATAAAGCAAAGTACTACAGGCTAAAGGGAGATTGTATTTAACAGTCATAACTACATACAAAAAATGTGATTTTAACATTATTTAGCAATATGCTCACTGTCTTCACCTATCTATCAGCACTCTTTTTTCCTTTCTTGGATTTCTCCTCCAACTTCATGAGCATACGCTTCTCCCAGTGCACCAAAAATGATTTCTCAGCAGAAGGAGAAAGAGAGAAAAAGCATGTTTAGAAGATCGAGCATACTGCTAAGTGCTACCCCCTGATGAGATTACCATAACCCACTTACAATACTTAAATTTTAGCTTACTTTTGTTTCGTATTATCCAACTGTTGCAGGCACTAAAGTGACCTCTAGCAGTTTGTCAGTCAGCTGAGTGTCTTCTACTCTGCTATGAAGATGAATTAAGCGTGTTAATGATTCACATAAGAGTGTATAATCTGCTCAAATAAACTCAATGATATCCAACACCCATAAAAACTACGTGCAACTTAAAGAGCTGTGGATAAACTTGTGAGATAATATTCATCTGTAAGATTATCTTAGAAACACAAAAATAATATATTAATGCCCTTTTGAACTCACATCCTCATTTATGTATACGACTACCATATGGTAGACTATGACTGCATTAATAGCAGCAAATAGAAGTCATTTTTCGAGGCCAATAAACCAAAAGAGGGAGTTAACCATATATAATATAGACCATCCATTTCTCGTCTTTGAACTCTGCGTAATAGCTCCACTTGTAGGATTCCACCAATGGAAAGAACAGGTTGTGGCAGCCTAAACTTCTACAAGTTGTTCTCCTGTACCCATGAGAAGCAAACTAAGCTGTTCCAAAGTCGAGATACATAAAAGAAGAAATCTTAACTAAAACTGAGCTACAGTTGAAGTAGATTTTAAGCTGTTTGCTTTTGTCAACAAAAGAGAAGATTAGCTCATGACTGAGCACCTAATAGCTGTGGTAAAATGAGGGATATACTTCCGCCAAGTACATGTTCTGACACAAGTAAGACCAAGAATAGGCTTAGTTAGTGGAAACCATTATTATTACTTGGGAAGTAGTTGTTACTTATTATCCAAGAAAAGACGTCAGTGTAAAGTATCCATTTGATTTTTGGTTAATTTGAAGAAAAAAAACAAATAAGCCGAATGAACAAATCCATAACATCATAGAAGAAGAACTTGAGGTGCAACCTTGAAATGGTTGTACATGAATTTCTAAAACCAAACAGGTTTGAGATTAATTTATATGATAGTGGCTCAGGAACTATAGGATCAGTTTCTCCGCTACTTGACCAGTATGTAGCCCCGCAGCCAACCCGGTCACTTAGTTCTAATGTATTCAGAATGCTTTCTTTAGGATAGTTGTCAGAGGATACTTGTCAGTGCCTGATGTAAAGATTGCATCTGTTAAGCAATCTTTTCTCATACAGTTGGAAAGTTCTTTTGCCATAAATGTATAAATCTGCGATCTCACTCCAGACGTAGATTTTTCAGGCTGAGATACCACTTGTACAATTGTGTTTTTTACTTTAATCATATTTCCAACACTTGATATTCAGGGAATTTCCTTAAATAGAGATGCTTACAAATCCATTTCCAATCACTGCACAAAATTGTGTAGTCTGAACTTTGAAGTTAGATGGCTTGGGAAAAAGATGAAAAAGTATGACAAAGACATAGAAATCCCTCTTCAATATTTCATGTGTGCAAAAGTTTGTCAAATAGTTTTGGCGAAGATAAACTCGTGATAGACTTGAGCTGCTGGCAGAGGAAAAAGATACACTTATTAGGCCTATGTAATAATAACACAAAACAAAATAGATCTCTGAGTAGTAAGATGGAATCATTTGGCCAGATTAAATATACAAATTTTGAATAATGACATTTCAAGTACTTTATCCTGCATGTATTTAGCACATAATGCAATTAGAGGGCAGTTACTTGTATTCAATTGTGGACCTTGTAATGAAACAACTATGTTTTAGTGTTGGATTCTATCAAAGATACATGCATATCTTTTACACATATCTTCTACACATCAGTAGAAAGAAAAGCTAGTGAAATAAAGTAAATAAAAAGTGTAAGCATATGTGCCAATTTCCAATGAGCATATCACATTGTAAATCTCTCTAGATAGCGAAAAAACACTTACCTTGTCTTTGCTCTGACCATTTCTTGCCGAGCTTTTTCTTCTTGAAGAGTTATTGGTTTTCTCTTGGTTTTTTCTCGAGCTGCATCATTTCTTATTCTCCTTTTTCAGTTTGAGATCTGTGTTCGTTATCCCTTCGTACAACAGTTATGTGATCATCAAGTGTTTCTACACTACAGTAATAATATTAGAGTCAGAAGTATATTTGTCAGAAGTATATTCTCAGTTAAGTAAAACCTGAGTACTCCAAACATGCATAGAGTAAACAAGAAACATTAAAAAAAATCTTTTGCCATGTTTCATTATAAAAGAACCATCAACTTACTTATTCCCCTAATGATCACATGAATAATACAACTTTATTTGCTCATCTACATAAAAACGATTAATTTAACAAAAATATATATACTCCACTACTTATTTTCCTTTGCAAAATAGTAAATAAAGTACTCTATAGGTATATATATCTTACTATATCATTAATGTTACTTTGTTTGTCCAGGTGTTTTTGTTTTCTCAAATACCTACCATATTCATGTCTATTTTCCCGCATCTAGTATGCACATTAGTCACAAACTTCTCGATGGGCAAAGTTAATTGATGTAAAGTTCTTTCCCTTTTGGGTGGAATATAGATTTACATTCTGCCCCAACATCTATAGCTGAAATTTTTCGACTTAACAGAATGTGATATTTTTGAGTGGCCAACAACACATTATTCAGGTTTGGCCTTTTTTTTAACACAAATAAAGTAAATGAAGTAAAAGTACCAAAATTTTGTGTAATTTCTGTCCAAATCCTAAAAGCAGTTGAGTTATCAAACAATAGGAGAATAGAGCTTAATCATTACACCAGGAAAAATAAAAAACACAAAGTCCAACAAATTAAAGGAAGAAAATATGAATATCCATTCAATCATGTAAAATGAAGATTCTTTCAAAATTTGCCTTATCATATTCACATTCTAATAGTAACATATCATCTTCTTATTTCCTCACATTTGCAACAAAAAAGAAAATCGGATCGATAACTCAATATTGCTTGATGACCCATTCAAAGATAACGTCAATAGCATTTATCAAACAATGTAATAGCTCATTTGCTAAAAAAATATAGGTTAATTTTATACTACCTGCAAATGCAATTTCATACCTTTTCCATGTGACAAAAGAGTTCCAATGATTACACTTTAGGATAATTAGAAAGTGTGTCAAGTCAATTATAATAAATCTTAAAATATTTTAATCAAAGAATGACAAAATTTGTTGAAATGTCAGAGAAGCAAACCTGGAAAGTTTTTCTTGAGTGGCTCACCAACTGCAAGGAAAAATCAAGGAGAAGTTTAGTGCTAATTTTTCATAGATCCATCAAAGAGAAGACTTAAAGAGTCAAAACAAATGTTGATGAAATTTAGAAGTAGCAAGTAGCGAAAGAAATAAAACATACGGATTTGTAGACATATCAGGCTTGTCTTTGCTTTCGGAATGCATTTGTTTTGCTCTCTTTTTCTTTTTGGCTTTTCCAAGTATTAGATTTATCATCACCTACATATTATATTTCTCTGAAGAAAGCAAAAAAATTTAGAACACCACCTACAAACATCATGCTACAGTACTGTAATATGCTTTACCTATATGCAACATTCCAGTAAAAATATATTAGCCCTCCATCTTGCACCAAGAACACTCGTAGAATGATTAATTAATTGTCACCAGTTACGATTTTCAATGACTGCGGAATGTCCTAGCAAGGTTAATAATTCAACGTACAACCATTCATCAAATGAATAAGGTTATATAACTGGAAGAAAAAAGTAAAAGAAAAACAGAAGCCACTACAGGTATAGATGTAAAACACCATGAAAGTAAGATATTAGATATACTGGTATTTCCATTAAAATCTTCTATAGATAGATGATGCAATTTTGTAACTGCAACTTTGAAACTTCAAAGTTTTTATAGATAATTCAATTTGTAGTAATTAACCGCAAAGCTCACTTAGAAAGGTGCCAATGGAGAGCGTAGAAGCTTAAAAAGGCAGGAAGCACGGAAAACAAACCTAAATGAGGATCTCAGGCAACATGAATCTCAGAAGAAAAAGCAGAGGATTAGCGAAGCAAATAGAGAAATAAGAAATTACATAAATGAATAATTCAATCACTCTTTACAAAAAAGCAATCATATTAGATAGAGATCAAGATGAAAACAAATGGAAGATGAAAAATACCTGTTGGATTAACATTTAGAGATACAAACGAAGTATAATCCGCTGAGGAATCATCCACTGCAGAACAAAAGACTTAGACAATCATCTTGTAGTAAGAAACATCACATGATTGCCTTTTGAATGATTTCATCGTAAACTATGTTAAGGTAGAATGATCATCATCACTAGTCGGGGTGGGAGGTCGAATCAACAATTTCACATAGTTCGAACTCTTTGCTCTAGATAAGGCAACATAAAGTTGGCCGTAGGAAAATACAGGTTCACGCAAATAAATTCCCACAAAATTTAATGTTTGACCCTGCGCTTTATTTATAGTCATAACAAAGCACATTCTTACTGGAAATTGTGTTCTCTTGAATTAAACGGGCAATTTTTCATTATTTGAAGATAATAATGGTATTCTTGGAATAAATACATGTGTATTCTTGAAATCACCTGGTGCAATCTTAGCACTTAGAACATGAGTTTTAAATCCACAACAGTTTAATCGTGTGACATTGCATAAACCTTCATATGGATTTAAGTTTCGTAATAACATAATTGGACAATTCTTTTTCAAAGATAATATGTACGGAGGCAAACCTGCAGGGTTTAAAGTATGCAATAGATCTTCAAATTGTGATTGATTGTCAGATTCAATTGTCTCATCAATACCAACAAATATTCTTGCTTTTCCTGGAAATTGATCAATAAGCATATCGTTGATTTCATCGGCACAATTATTTTTTGTTGTCAAAATTACACGGGAGTCTGTACAAGAAGCTTCATAACCAGATGAATTCAAATATGGATATGTCACTGTGAATAGTTTATCTAAAGATTCTCTTTCAGCTGTGAAAGGCACAATTAAAGAATTTGGTACTTCAATGTTATTTGTTGCGTTACGTTCTTGTCCATTCCCAATTCTTAGCAAAAAATCACAGAACGCAGGATCTGTTTTTGCCCTCATATTCTCAGATAATTGTATTTTTTCTAGCTTGGCCCAAATGCTGGAATATAACAAACTTTGATTAATGAAATCTTCCTTTTTTCCATTTCTCACAACGGGAAGAGTTTGTCTAAAATCAGCCCCAAAAACAACTACTTTTCCACCGAATAATACATTTGTATCCATGAGATCTTTTAGTAGCAAATTAAAAAATTCTAGCATTCTTTTATTTGCCATAGATGCCTCATCCCATACAATCAATTTTGCATCGCGAATTAAACTCGCAAGTGCGCTTTGTTTACTAATACAACTAACATTCTCATCAATATCAATAGGAATTTTAAAGCGTGAATGTGCAGTACGCCCACCAGAGAGAATAGAAGCAGCGACACCAGAAGTCGCAGTTGCCAAAGTGATATATCCCATAGACCGTACAGTTGCTAGTAAAGCACGGTATAAGAAAGTTTTTTCAGTTCCTCCTGGACTGTCAATGAAAAATGCGCCCGCTTTGTTGGAAAATACTCTGTTGATAATTACATCATATGCTGTCAGTTGATTTTTGTTTAGTCTCTTATGCAATTGTACCTCATCTTCACTTACGGTAGTAGTTCTTTCAAAATGAATCTCTTTTGCTTCTTTCGCTTCTGCGGAAGGTCTAATAGTTTGTGGAATGAGTTCATATTCATTTACATTGTGACCCATAGAATGCAAAATATCATTGATATGGTTCGGAACTTGATATCGGATTTTGTTTCAATAGTCCGTAACACTTTATAATCTTCAGACATACACTCTTCAAATTGCTCCCATAGTTCTCTTGGATTGGTAGGGTTGCAGTGTACCAATAATGTAGCAAACAAACGCTTTAAACTATATGGTATATGATAACTTGCTGCTTCAGACATGCATTCCGTTAAACTGTTATCACACTGTAATAATCCTCTTTTTTCCACAAATTCTCTAAATGTACTACAAAGTTCTCCATTTACCATAAGAAGATCCTCTTACGATGTCGGCCCACGCACATGCATCAATAATAATCTAAGATAATATCGTTCTCCTTCTGTTGGATGAAACGCGGCCAACAGTACAACGACGCTGTCGAAGTGCCCAAAATTTGTCGCTGGAGGACCACACAAAGTATTCAGGAAATTCTCTGTACAATAAGTTCAGTTTCATGGCATTCTTACCTGTTTTGTTCATATAGAAGAATTCGGTCAACATAGTTTTTTTAATCATGGGATTATTTACAATTGTATTTATATCCATATTTTTCTTGAAGGAAACAAGTTGTTGTCCATCAAGATGCAGCTGAAGATGATAAACATTCGGAGACATTTCGCTAATAGGAAAACGAAAGAGACGCCATACAGCTTCCGGAGGTGATACCCATCTAGTAGATCGATATTCATTTACCTCATCTATTTCTATATTCGCATCATTTTGTACAGAAAATGCAATTTTGTCATGTCCTTTACAGATGTACTTATAAAGGTACTTCACAACTTTGATGCAAACTTCAACATTTATGTGACAATTGTATTTACCGAGTAAATATGGATTGTATGGGACGACCCAAGAGTTATCTAAGTCATGACCTCTTACTTCACAACTTCACCTGTATTTCGTCTTCTATAAATTGGAAGAGAATCATTTCCTTTTAATGTTTGATAAGCAGATATTTTTGGATATTTGAACTTGCAAGAACCCGTTTTTTTCCTCATACAGGAATTTGTTGGGTCTAAACTACCACAAGGACTGTGCATCATATGCTTAAGAACAAGCTTACGCAAATCTGAGTCTGCATTAGCATCTGGTAATTATGCTCTAATTATTTCATCGTATGCTTCAGTTGTCAACAATTTATAGTCATTTTGTAATATAATAAGAAAATGAGCATGAGGTAAACCTCATTTTTGAAACTCAACGGTGTACATAAAAGCAACAACTTTTCCAAAGATATTTCGTTTTAGAATATCCGTCTTCAGCTCTTCTATTTTGGCCCTAAATACGCGACTAATCAAATCAGGTCTATTTTGTGCCTCATCGCTAGGTGCTAAATGTTCCTCAATTTCTGGCCAAGTTGGGTTACATGTCATCGTTATAAATAAATCAGGCTTTCCAAAATACTGCACTAATGCAATATCGGTCATATAACGTTGACGCATATCTCTAGGCCCTCCTATAAATGAATTTGGTAGAAATGTTTGTTTTCCAAAATTAGAAGCATATCGTTCACCAAGTCTTAAAATGTCAAGAAGTCCATTTAACATATCCATTCTGAACAAATCTTGATTGAAGAAAACAAAATCCATTCTTTGAGTCTCCAATTTTATATATTCATCAACCGAATATTGTTGAAGTAATCTCCCTGTATGTAGAAGTTCATCTTCATCATCGTTTCTCATCTGGAGCCTGTAACTATAGTATTCACGAACTGAAACTGTATCTCTCTTTCGTTTTCCTTTTTGCATAACTTGATCTTCCATATCAAGATATCCGTCAACAGAGGTGAAATTTTTTATATTTGGTAATTGTTCCAAATCAGACAACGCATAATTTTTAGGCATATTTTCTTCCCCATGAAACTTTTTAATGCCAAAATGCCACCCACTTTGGCCATATGGAAATAGTAAAGGATACTGTAAAGGATTATAACACCCAAAATAGTAGTTCACTCTTTGAGTTCTATTGCTGTGAGTATAAATTTGAATGTGTGGTACATGAATAGCACCAACATCATTCTCATCAACCCATATAGCTGCAACCTCTGTAGTACTGGGCAAGTTAAATATTCGTTGATCCAATCCAGAGTTACATTTAAGTGCGATGTGATAGTTCTGTAAGTTCGAAATCTCAGATAAAATTCGTAAAAATATAGAATATGGATTATCTTTCAGTGTGTCTATCAATTCCCACACTATTAATTCATTTATTTTATCAGAGCAAGCCATTCTATTTGCAATCTCATTGTCGTTATCATAAAAGTACAACTGTAAATTTTTAGGCCTTCTCTCTGCAGAATATAAATCATCTATAAAGTGATACATTTGACCTTTAACTCTGAATGTATATATACCACGATTTCTTTTGGCTAGATCTTTATCGTAACTGACACCAAGCGAGCTAAAAGCAAACATATTATTATACGTTCTAATATACGTCTGGAAGTGCTTCGATTTTGCAGAAGATCCTAGATATAAATTTCTCAATGCAGGTGCCATTTTATGATAAGTCAACTTAACTGTACCGTTAGCACAACAAAATGAAGGTGATTCATACTGAAATTTTTTAGCCGAGCAGAATTCACAATTTGGCACTTTTTTAAGTGGAACATAGTCAGAGCGTAATCGGATATTATTAGGCATATTTCTCTTTTTTCCATAACCAACATTAGTCAATTTTTTCTTATTCTTTACATGACCTCCATACGCCATTCAGACTTAAGGAGTGGAAAAAATTATGAAACAGCAAAAAAGTAGAAACGATATGTTATGTTCATACCAACCGTCAGCCAAAATCGGCTCAATCGGATATTATTAGGCATATTTCTCTTTTTTCCATAACCAACATTAGTCAATTTTTTCTTATTCTTTACATGACCTCCATACGCCATTCAGACTTAAGGAGTGGAAAAAATTATGAAACAGCAAAAAAGTAGAAACGATATGTTATGTTCATACCAACCGTCAGCCAAAATCGGCTCAATCGGATATTATTAGGCATATTTCTCTTTTTTCCATAACCAACATTAGTCAATTTTTTCTTATTCTTTACATGACCTCCATACGCCATTCAGACTTAAGGAGTGGAAAAAATTATGAAACAGCAAAAAAGTAGAAACGATATGTTATGTTCATACCAACCGTCAGCCAAAATCGGCTCAATCGGATATTATTAGGCATATTTCTCTTTTTTCCATAACCAACATTAGTCAATTTTTTCTTATTCTTTACATGACCTCCATACGCCATTCAGACTTAAGGAGTGGAAAAAATTATGAAACAGCAAAAAAGTAGAAACGATATGTTATGTTCATACTAACCGTCAGCCAAAATCGGCTCAAAGGATGTAGCACTTGACTCATTTGAAGTGTCTGATGTAGAACCTGGTGCAACACGATTATGGATTAAACATTTGAGCATAGTAGATGTTGAATTGTCAATGATCAAGGTTACATGATTACCTTTTTCAAAAACATGAAAAGGGTACACCACATTTTTCTCCTTGTGAAGCACATCGGGTGGCGTACAAACTTCACATTCAATGATTTCTGCAAGAATTTTTTTTAACAAACATGAGAATCATATGGGCATAACTGTTTCACAAGCGCACTCATATATATGTACATATATATGTGTGGAAAAGACAGATAGTGCATTTAATATTCTAACTTGTTTTTGGCATAGAAGAAGAGGCTGCAGCAGCAAAATTACCTGGCATTACAGATGTTGGTTCAACAAGATTGACATAAGTTTTACTTGTGAGAAGACGATTAGTTGTTGTCTCTCTTTTTTTTAGACGTCGTTGCTACAGAAGCGCATTCTTTTCAGCCATGGTCATATTGTTGTACACTTCGCGTCATTTGGCATTCTTATCATAGGCTTCTGTCATTATGCAAGGACGTTTTTTTGTTTGATGAGGATCCATTGTTAAGAGAACTTGAGTTATACAAATATCAGTATTCTAATCACAGTACAAACCTACATCAGAAAAATAAAGATTAAAAGGTATAGTAACTTGCCATATATCAATTTTAAGTCTTAGGCTTTCTCATTAAGCAACTCGATTATTTTAATGATAAGACGAACAAACATAGAGATTAAATTGAACCATGTCGAATTGAACATTGTAATCCAAAAGGCTGTAGGCACGAAAAAGAGTATTTGTTTGTGTTTAGACAAAGTGATATGAAGCACAAATATTTGTAACCTATCACCACACATTGAATTTTCACCTACTGTATAAGTTGCCTATGTTATCCCATTCAACAACGTTCATCAACTTATCAGATTGCACACTAAATATAACTGATTGTACAATATGATAACAATATGTAGGCATCTTGTTTAACCAAAAATCTGAGTCTTTGGTCAAAGCTAGAAACGAAGAGAAATTCGGGTTACTGATAATCAGGAGACGAAAATAATAAAAGATTTTTGAGAACGATGATAAAGCAGTAAATAGCTTTGTATTTCAGTAAAGTCTCAATAATCTTCCCCTCTACAGATGTCGAGTCCTTCTCATTTTATAGTTGATTCTAGGAGAAGGTGTAATGTCTTTGTCTTAATGAGGCAATTATGAGCAATAAATGACTTTAAAAAAAACGTTACTCAATCATTCCTATTAAATACAAATTCTCTAACGTATTTGATATGTAATGCTGAATTTGGACTCTTTTGCGTCATCAGATTCATATCTTCAATCCTTTCCGATCTTCGGGGTTATAAATGACTTATATAGGTACGAAACTCGTGCCTATTTAACTTTCTTCTCTCCGTATCTGTTGTCGCCCGTGCCTTCTTGGTTGATTACCGTGTTTTGACCATTTGACCAGTCCACGTGTCATGACACGTCATCTTCAATATATAAATTCAGTTTTTTTCCCAATACAGATAGTTCCCCCACTTTTCATTTATTTATCAATTAAATATTTGGGAAGTGGATCTTCACAAAAAGGGAATTTTTACCATAATCAATGCTATGACAGTACTGACGCTTCAATTGTCTTTTCTATTTAATGTTCTGCACACGCGTCACCTTTTGATTGGCTCCGTAATTTTGCAGCCTTTTTTTCAAGGCTTATTCATACCTTATATTCACGAAGCGATAGTTGCCTTTATTATAGGCTTTCCGTCATTACACTTCTAAGTTTGACGGTTGTCATTATA